TGTTTAAAATTCAATTTTCATTTTCATACAAGTTTTCACTCATGAAATCGTCGCTAATTATCCCTACGAATGCGCGTTCATCTGCATTAATAAAAATGGCGCAGTTAGGTTCTAATTTTTTGAAGATAGAAATGAATACTAAAAGAATAAATATAAGTAAAAGAGGTTTTTCTTTTAAACATACTACCATTATAATCTAATTAAGTTCGAATTAACCTGATCGTAAGTAGTTTTTAATAGCCTCATTAAGACCTTAATTACTATTCCGCACATATAAATAACCTCCAATTCTGTATAAAGTTCAGTTTACTCAGTTCTTTTGTAAGTGGCAGTTCTCGTGATACCTTAATCAATATGTTTTTCCAGACTTTCCAGAAGACGATCTACACGAACCAAGTTATACCTTTCTTTTTGGAGGTTCCGATGGAATTAATAATAATGATTCTATGTTTTTTGGATGCGAAATCTCTTTTGGTTGCAGCTGTAACATATGCCAAGGTGATGGATATTTGTCAAGAACTCACAACTCTTCGAAGACGATTGAGGGTTGCTCAAAATTTCGAGGAAAAGCGAAGAGTTAATTATTACCTAAATCCAAGTAGTGTAGTTAAAGTAATAAGAAATGGACCTGTCAATAATTGTTCGACAAAATTTGAAGTGTCTAAAAAGACTTTTTATCTTTGGATTTAATTGGTAAGATTAGTAATAGGTGTGAAAGTAGGTTTAAGACTATAAGTAATGTTACATCAACTCGAAACTTTAGAATATAAGTTCTTAATTTTAGATTTATTTAAAAATCTGTTGGCGAATTCCTNCTCTAACACATAACGATTTTTAGATAAGATAACATTGTATCGGCGCTGATTCCTGGTTAAGTTTCCTCTGTCTTTATATGGTGTTAACATATTCATTTTTAATGGGTAGCCACTATCTGCAAGTATATGGTATCGACCACATAACCTCTCTAAGTGATTACCTAATGGGGAGTTTCGAAATACCCTGCTGTCGTGGACCGAACCAGGGTACCCTACGTACAAATCAATAATTTTGTTTTGGTGATCACAAACCAGTTGCATCTAAAACAGAGAAAGAACTAAGTAAAGAAATAATTGTAAAAATATAATGAGTTCTTACTTGTACAGAGTAGAAATGTTTTCTATTAAAATAGGATTCAGGGTCATTTGTTGGTTTATCAATCCGAATGTGAGACCCATCTATGGCCCCAATAATATTTGGAAACCCATTCTCCCTAAAATGTCCTTCTATAACTTTTTTCTCATCATCATTTGGCCATTTGATTATCTCTGGAGCTAAATTACTTAAAAACATTGTAACCTTTTTTATAATGCGCCCAAGAGTACTTATGGTCACATCAAAACGATCAGCGACATCTCGAAAACTGGATGTTTGGTGTCCCATATACCATAAGTATATGAGAATCTAAAAAATATTTTTGTATATTTTATGTACACTTTACATATGTCTTTACTTGATGACGAGGAGATATATTCCCATATTGGCCAATTTATTATTGCTCAATTTATATTTTTCCGATAACTCATTTATCAAACCTCTTGATAATCGAAAATGGGTAAAAAAAGATTGGTCATCGTACCTATCAACGGTTTCATCTATAGTAATTGTAAGAGAGATCAAATGATTAACTAATTGAAAATTTCTGAATAAAATCTTTACCTAGAAAATTCATATTTTTTATTTTTGGTTCCGGAATTGTTTCCAATTCGCTATCACTTGATTCTTCTCCGCTACTAAAATCACTAAAATCCCCGATATCGCTCATTTTCGAACACAACAAATCGAAACTTCGCCAAATTAATTTGTATCAGCGTTTATTGTCACGTCAAATAAATGCAGACAAGTTGACAGCGCATGACAGTACTGGGACTGAACTATTAGTACTTCCTACCGAGTAGGTACTGAAAATACCGTTCACGAACGGTTTCGACATCGTTCCGTTGTAAGTTGGGACATATTTCCGAACTATTTCGAAACTGTTCCGTACCAGTTGGGACTGTTTTTATTTAATGCGCATGCGCAGTACAGTTCTAGAACTGTTTTGTCGCCTGTTGGGACAAACCTATTATAAATTAAAATAAATTATTTTTTAACCCTCTTTTTTAATAAGTATGTATTTTTTAGACGCCACTGGTGTTACGGTCGAAATAATAATGGAAACACGCGCACATGACACAGCAAGCATATTAAAATTTTTTGATGGACTGTTTGACAGCCTTAATAGAGGATGCCGTAGACCACCTCCTGGTAAATTCCTCCGTGGTGCCGTTTCCCAAAAATCGAACCATATTACATTTTGGAACGAGTCAAGAGGTAATTATTGCACATTAGCGTATTATGCAAAACAGTAAACAGTATTATGAATAAGATTTCTCTTTGATAATAATTATCGATATATTTTAATTCAATTATATAATTTATAGATATGCTTCAAAAAATGTATTTTCGAAAAGAGGGGTCCACGGAAAAAGCGGTACCTCCCAGTTTAAAAAAATGTATATTGAATATTAATTATTATATTAATAAGAATATTAACCTATTATTTTCCCCGTACATTAAACCAAGATCCACTCGAAAATTATTTCGGACAGGTGCGGCAACACAGAGTCCGAAACAATAACCCAACTGCAAAACAATTTGGGGAAACATTTAAAACGTTGTTGGTGAGAAAGATAGTGAGTACACATTCGGTGGGGGCAAACTGTGAAGAGGACTATGATTCCTCATTGTTACAATTACGGCAATTTGTTATGACCAGCAAGGAACCGAGCATGAGTGTAGAAATTGTAGAGAGTTAAGGCTGTAAACCAATGTATATATAGAAGAGAAATTGTTATTGGTGGACCAATTGATAATGCAGCAATTGGCTATATAACCGGTTTCATTGCAAAAAAACTTTTAAACATATTTGAATGCAATTTTTGCAGATTGCATATTATTAATAGGCATGAAATCAAATCTAAATATTACGACTTTATAAAAGAAAAAGAATATCATGCTTATAGATGTTTACTACATTGTCAAGATACTTTTATTGAAGCGTTGGAAAATGTTTAAAAATGTTATTCTTAAAATATAAATTTAATAATAATATTAAGCGTACTATTGTTTTATATTTAAAAAAACATGTTACATTTACATTTATGTGTGAGCATAAGTGTGAAATTATTAATTACATATTAGATAACATTGTAACTATTACCATACAATGCCTGTATATCGGATTAAATCGCATTATGTGTGGAAACGATACAAGGCAATGCAATTTTTCTACAGACTTATATAGACAGGCGCGGCTTATATACCGGGTGTCCCTCAGAAATGACTACTTCTACCCGGTATAGCAATAGATCTAGAAAATAAGAATTATTTTGTATTAAATACTGAATTTTCTATTTCGATTGTCAATTTTGTCAGTGTAATTCGCAAAATGTGTTACTCCATATAATTTTTTTTTTTACTCTAATTTTTCCAACGGGTATAACAAAAAAAGGTTGTAAAAATATGGAGTAATGCATTTTGCGAATTTAAATAACAATTTTCAAGAATACTGTCCGAATCGTCAGCCAATGGAAACGATTGTTTAGATTAAGAGCGTTCGAAAAGAAAGGGTTTAAAAATCTGAGACGGAAAAAAGAACGAGAGTCCTCGTCGGGAGTCGAGTAACAGCTAGTCCGAGGAGAGTCCTAGTCCAGTCGGAAATTTAGTCGGAATTAAGTCTAGGCTAGCTAGGGAGAAGCTGGTCCGGTTTCAAAAAGTTCGGGTTGGGCTCGAGTTGGAGTTCCAGTTCTAGTACTGTCAGTTGAGAATCGAGATTAAGATTATTGGACCGTATCACAATGAGATTTTTAAACCTGTGTAAGTAATATTTTGTAAATCAATACTACTAACTGCTTTTGGTTCTGTTGATTGGTATGTCTTTCGTATATTTGTATAATAAATTATGTTTAATAGTATTTGCTTGATAGATTTTGTTCAATAATTTTGGTTTGGTAAATTTTGTTTATTAGATTTTATTTGTAGATTATTTTTTTTATTATTATTCTTGATTGATAAATTTTGTTTCATTGTTTCTTGTGTAGTTTTTCTTTTATTATTTAATAAGTTTTATAGTAAAGATTAAAATATTAATTTTCCTGTACCTTGAACAGATTTGCGTGACAAATTTCTGTTTGTCGCATACGCATTGCACACCCGCACGTCAATGTAAAGTCGCGTTCCCACGGGGCGTGATACGCTAGCGTGGGGCACGCTTTCGAGCAACACGCCCCGTGTGAACAAAGTGTCGTGGGTTAGCTGCTGACGTCACAGGCAAGCGTGGTGCTCACGCCTCGAATCAAACTGGTTTGATTTTTGTCGTGAGCTTGCTTGCGTATACCCGTTCAAGATGGCAACAAGTAGTGGAATCAAAAGTCGTGTAGTGAAATTACAAGACAATGAGACTCTGCGATTTCTCGAATTATATAGTGTTGAAAAAGTGTTGTATGATGCAACTAGCGAACAATATAGAAACCGCGATATGAGAATGGCAGCAGCTAAAAGAATTTCGGACGAGCTTAATATTCCAGGATTTGGATCAAAAGACGTAATATCAAAATTTAAAAACTTAAGGAGTTCCTATTGTCAAGAATTGAAAAAAATAGCCGACAGTGNATACTTCGGGTCTATCGGGTGCTGCGTCCTAGTAGCTTTAAGTGATACATTAATCCATACATATCGCTTCTCAGTACACTTGACCGGTTGGCGTAATATCGAGTAGGCGTGTTTCAAAGTCGTCTGGATTTATCACACCCCACCTGTCGAATCTTTAAACTTTTAAACGGTTTCATTGTGTTTTATAATAAATATTTTATAATTTTGCTGCTTAGATAAGGTAAGTGATTTTACTTTTAGTTATGGTGATTTGGATTTTGTCTAGTTGCACACTGTTTTATCTCTATTTTAGTAATTAATATAATAATATAATGGGCGATTATGAGAAAGAGCAACAACGCCTATTGGCTCTTTGGGAAGATATGGAAAGTGATGATGAAGTAATCAACAATGATGATTCGGAGGAAGAAGATATAGATAATATAAGCGTTTGTAGTGACTATCCCGATATGGAACAAGATGCCGAGGATGAACTGGAACCAGCTGAAGAGCAAACGCAAGCTAAATATTTTTTCGGAAAGGACGGAACTAAGTGGTCTAAACAACATCCCAATAAAAAAGTTCGGACTAGAGCCGAAAATATTATAATACACCTTCCTGGAGTAAAAAAACCTGCAAAAATGGCTAAGACACCTCTTGAATGTTTCTCGCTTTTCATAGACGAGCAGATGATTGCCGACATAGTTGAAAGGACAAATGAAAGAATAACGGAGAAATGTGCGCAATGGAAAGATTCTCCTCACTACGGGCAAACATCAGCGGTAGAGATAAAAGCAATATTTGGCCTTCTATATTTATCGGGAGTTTTCAGAAATAATCATCGCCATTTGTACGAACTTTGGAATACGGATGGTACTGGAATGGACATATTTCCTGCTACAATGAGCCAGAGACGATGTGAGTTTTTGATTTCGTGTTTACGTTTCGACAACAAGAGTAATCGTGCCGAGAGGGTCAATGTAGATAAACTCGCCCATATCAGAGCTATATTTGATAGATTCGTACAGAACTGTCAATCTGCTTATTCACCATCGGAATATTTGACGATTGACGAAAAGCTTGAATCATTTCGAGGGAAATGTTCCTTTAGGCAATTTATTCCCAACAAACCTGCGCGATATGGGATAAAGGTACATGCTTTGGTTGACGCGCGAACATACTATGTCCTAAATATGGAGGTATATGTGGGTCAACAACCCCAAGGACCATTTAGAGTAAGCAACAAGCCAAAGGATATAATAGATCGTTTAGTTGCTCCTGTATCGAAAACTAACCGCAACATTACTTTCGATAATTGGTATACGAGTCTGGAGCTTTTACAAAGTTTGCGACAGAAACATCAATTAACTGCAGTGGGAACTATAAGAAAAAATAAGCCCTACTTACCACCAGCTTTTCTAAATGTAAAAAATAGAGACAATTGTTCCACCTTATTTGGGTTCCACGAGGGAAATACTTTGGTGTCTTATTGTCCAAAAAAAGGAAAGGTTGTTCTCTTGTTATCTTCCTTACATCATGATGATGCCGTTGATCAAACAGATAAGAAATTGCCCGAAGTTATATCATTTTACAACTTTACTAAGTGCGGAGTTGATGTTGTCGACGAGATGTCTGCGTCATATAACGTTTCAAGGAATAGCCGTCGCTGGCCGTTAAGATTGTTTTATTCCCTCCTAAATACGACAGGAATTAATTCGCAAATTATTTACAGGGAAAATAACAATGGTATTAAAATGGCCAGAAGACATTTCCTGAAAAAGCTTGGCATTCAACTAGTAGAAGCACATCAAAGAAGCAGAATGTCTAACCCTAGACTGACAAGAGAGCTTAGAGGAAATATTCGAAAACTTCTGAAGGAAGAAGATTCTGAGCCTCTATCCAAGAAGAGAAAACCAAATCAACAAGGCAGATGTTCAGAATGCCCTCGTGCAAAAGATAGAAAAACCAGATATATTTGTGAAGCATGTGATAAGTTTATATGCCTCGAGCATGCGGTAACATATTGTAAAAATTGTAGTGACTTGAGTTCCACAGCAAATGAATAAAATGGTATTATTATTTAATATTATTATTAATTAATTTACTTTACTTATACTAGTTGCGCGAAATTTATCTTTCATTTTTCATACAAACCCAATGTAGGACAATAAACATTTTTTTTTACTATAAATTAAATTAATCGTTATTTGACATCATATCAACAACAAGTCCCACCAGAAATCTAAGAAATAAGTCCCAGAAATAACAAATAAATTCAAATAAACCGTTGTTTGAGTTGGGGTATATAGCACCCCACCTGTCACAAATTGTCACAAAAATTCACATGTCGGATGCCGGGTTAANAAGTACGCACAACAAAAAAATAGAAAAGCAGGAAGTAAACGCTTTTATAGGCGTTTTGATACTTAGTGGATATATGCAAGTACCGAGACGGAGGATGTTCTGGGAACGTGAAAAAGATTGCCATAACGTCATGATTACAGAAGCAATTACAAGGGACCGGTTTGAGTATTTGTTTTCTAATCTTCACGTCTGTGATAATCAGCAGTTGGACCAGGGTGACAAATTCGCTAAACTAAGGCCGCTTTTCACACTGTTGAATAAAAAATTCATGGAGAATTCCTCGCTTGAAGAAATGCACTCAGTTGATGAAGCTATGGTTCCGTATTATGGACGTCATAGCTGTAAGCAGTATATTCGAGGAAAACCCATGCGCTATGGATATAAGTTATGGGTAGGAAGTACCAGGTTAGGTTACTTGAATTGGTTCGAACCTTATCAAGGAGCCTCTACAAATATAAGTGAAAACTTTTCTGAATTGGGAGTTGGTGCTGGAGTAGTCTTAGAATATGCGCAAGCTTTACGTAAGGAATGGCCAGATAAAAAATTTCATCTCTTTTTTGATAACTTTTTTACGTCAATTCCGTTGATCGAAAAACTAACTGACTGGAATTTTTATGCTACTGGTACGGTTAGAGAAAACAGGCTAAAAGACATTTCTCTTATAGATGCAAAACTCATAAAGAAGCAGCGCAGAGGAAGTTATGATTATGCAAAAATTGTAGAACAGAATATAATTGCAGTAAAGTGGCACGATAATAGTGTAGTTTCTGTTTGTTCCAATTTTTCTGGAGTTGCCCCAATTCACTCGGTCACACGTTATTCGCAAAAAGAAAAGAAGAATATTCAAAATAATAATTGAATACAAATATGGGAGGTGTCGACCGCTTTGACCAAAATATCAGCTTATATCGAATTTCGATCAGAGGAAAACAATGGTATTTTCCTTTGATATCTCACTGTATTGACATGGCAATTCAAAACGTATGGCATTTGCATCGCACGAATGGAGGAGAATTAGATCAACTTAGTTTTAGAAGGAGAATTGCTGTAATGCTGTTGGTTCAGAATAAAAAAACATCATCATATCAAGAAGGACATACCAGTAGGTCCCACGAAATAGATATACGGTTCGACCGAATAGATCATTTAGTTATACCCCAAGAAAAACAAACTAGGTGTGCTCATCAAAAAACTACAGCGCAAAATGTGACATTGGTGTACACACGAAGTGTTTTGTTCAGTATCACACTAATAAATAATTTTACATTTATAGATATTCATGTGCCGAATGTCCTACATGTAGGACGGCCCGAATTTCCAATTTAAAAAAAAATAAATTTGTTGGTTTGTTTGTAAGACTTTGTTTTGCTTCTTTATATAAGTTTTCAATAAAATTATTATGATTTGTAAAGTGGTTTTAATTTAGGCATATCTGGGTTAAATTAAAGCTTAATCTTTAATTCTGTGTGTAATAAGTAATAAACGTATTACTGTTATAAAGTTTGTTTGTAAAATCGAAAAATGTCAATGGTTAATTACGGTGATAATCGAAAATATTTGATAAATTTTAAAAAATCATCGCGTGTCTATTTTTAGGAATTAACAAACGACTTTTATGTCAAATTAAAGCTTAAACTTTAATATTCAATTCTATGTGTAATAAGTAATACGCTTGATTATAAAGTTTGTTTGTAAAATCGAAAAATGTCAATGTTTAATTACGGTGATAGTCGAAAATATTTGATAAACTTTAAAAAATCATAGCGACTCTGTTTATAGGAATTACAAAAAGACTTTTATATCAAATTAAAGCTTAAACTTTAATCTTCAATTCTATGTGTAATAAGTAATACGCTTGATTATAAAGTTTGTTTGTAAAATCGAAAAATGTCAATGTTTAATTACGGTGATAATCGAAATTATTTGATAAATTTAAAAAAATCATCGCGTGTCTATTTTTAGGAATTAACAAACGACTTTTATGTCAAATTAAAGCTTAAACTTTAATATTCAATTCTATGTGTAATAAGTAATACGCTTGATTATAAAGTTTGTTTGTAAAATCGAAAAATGTCAATGTTTAATTACGGTGATAGTCGAAAATATTTGATAAACTTTAAAAAATCATAGCGACTCTGTTTATAGGAATTACAAAAAGACTTTTATATCAAATTAAAGCTTAAACATTAATCTTCAATTCTATGTGTAATAAGTAATACGCTTGATTATAAAGTTTGTTTGTAAAATCGAAAAATGTCAATGTTTAATTACGGTGATAATCGAAATTATTTGATAAATTTAAAAAAATCATCGCGTGTCTATTTTTAGGAATTAACAAACGACTTTTATGTCAAATTAAAGCTTAAACTTTAATATTCAATTCTATGTGTAATAAGTAATACGCTTGATTATAAAGTTTGTTTGTAAAATCGAAAAATGTCAATGTTTAATTACGGTGATAGTCGAAAATATTTGATAAACTTTAAAAAATCATAGCGACTCTGTTTATAGGAATTACAAAAAGACTTTTATATCAAATTAAAGCTTAAACATTAATCTTCAATTCTATGTGTAATAAGTAATACGCTTGATTATAAAGTTTGTAAAATCGAGAAATGTCAATGTTTAATTACGGTGATAAACGAAATTATTTGGTAAACTTTAAAAAATCATAGCGACTCTATTTTTAGGAATTAAGAAACGATTTTGATCTTAAATTGAAACTAAAACATTGTAGTTTATAATAAGATACAGGGTGTCACACAAAAAACGCCCCAAGCTGTAACTCTGTCATTTATATTCCGATTTTCATGACCGAGGCATCAAATGAAATGGTTTGATAAATACTATGGTTCATGCTACAAATAAACTTTTTCCAACGCCATCTTCGATTTCAAGCGATTATCAACTTTTGATTTTCAAATTGCTCGGTATGTTTTTCTTAGTATTCCTGAGTATTCATCAAACCATTTCATTTGATAGCTAGGTCATGAAAATTGGAAGGTAAATGACAGAGATACAGCTAGCGGCGTTCTTGTGTGGCAACCTGTATATACAGGTGTCTTTTCTCTACTAAAATTATATTCAAAATGGATGTATTGTACATCAGTGGATTCAGAAAAACAATCTCTATCCAATGACGTAAAGAAAAATATATAGAGCAATTTGAAAAGCAAAAGTTAATAATCGCTTAAAATTGAAGACGGCCTTGGAAAAAATTTATTTGTAGCATGAATCATAGTATTCATGAAACCATTTCATTTGATAGCCCGCTCATGAAAATCGGAATGTAAATGAAAGAGTTACAGCTTGGGGCGTTTTTTGTGTGACAC